CTATATTTATCCTCATTTTCACTGTCTGTCATAGCTGTTTGTATTCATTCATATATTCTCCTCTTTTCCATTTCTCAACCCGTTCCAATCTAGTGTTTGACCTTACCATTCAACAGAAATTGCTTCCTCCAGAGTTACCAGTGATCTCTAAATTGCTAAATCTGGTAGCCTTTTTTCCAGTTTTCATCCTTTTCAATCTCTTTCCTGGGTACTTTTTTCTCCCTGTGTTTTTGTGACACTGCACCCTCTGTATCATCACTTATATTTTACCCTTAATTGAAGATTGTCTTATAAGGCCCTCTCATAGAGATCTTATCAGCTTTAGTTATTATCACTGCATAGATAATAACCCAATCTAGATATTTAGCCCTATGAACTTTGTTGATCTCTGATCTCATGTTACCAGCTGCTCATTGCACTTCCCCACCTGGAGATCCTTCAGGCATCTTAAACTCAACATAGCCAAAGTAGAATTCATTATTTTACCTCCTGGACCCACCTGGCCTCTAAATTTGTGTAATTCTGTTAAGAGTACCATCATCCTTAGAGTTGGTTTATCTAAATACCATGCTTTATTTTAAAATACAATGTACATTTCACTCACATTCAACTCTTGGTGCACTAATACCTGTTTTTGTTGATGATTTATTGTCATTTTCCCTCTCATAAATCTTTCCCAAGGGTTCTGTGCAGCAACATGCTAAGAGGCTTCCTTTAGGTTTCTTGATATTAGTTAATATTATCATTTCTTGTTCGTTCTTAGTACAAGAGAACTTTGCCTTTTTTCAGTCATGACATTTATTTGACTTGATTATTTTCAATGATACCCTATTTATGCCCATCATGAGTCACTCCGTTGTTCTTTGTGAGCCCCACAATTTTAATTCTAAAGAGCTTGTGGTATTCTATCATTTAGAGACAGAAGATAAAATAGGGAAATGTGACAACTTTATCTAAGATAAGTCCTGTTTACCTTGAGTTGGGTGGGTATAGATAAATAGAAGCTGTCAGGGCAAGCAATTTTGTCATGTAGAGCTATTTTTGTCTATGACTGCATATTACTCTTCGTTCCATAATCTATTACATTTTGACAAGCCAATTCACTCAGTTTATATCCATGAATTTATTTGAGTAGTAAAGATCATTTTGAGTGAAACGATTCACACAAATTGATGGGGTTATCAAATTCAAACAAATTGTCTATTCCATCAACTAAGTCATTGACAAAAATACTAAATAGAATAACCAGAATTGACTCCTATGTAATTATATTCAAATCCTTTGAAAAACTGACACTGAGAAACTATTCTAGGAATGCTTTGATAAATGATTTTTCTAGGAATGAAATTCCTTTTACATCAGAGTATGTTTAAAACAAATGCAGAACAATTAGTCATGGAATGAAGAGCTACATGTATACATAGGAAAAATTTCTCTTCATGATAAAAATACGTCTAATGACAAGTTCTATTTTTTCCACCCAGCTAAAAATAAACAAGACTAATCTTAAGTAGATTAAAAAGTTTGCCATTGCTAGTATTGTATTTCCAACTTTCTTTCACTTTTTCTCATAGTGATATACAGACTCACTTGGTTGTACCTCAGACCTTTCCTTCTCTTTTTTTCTACTCCAATTTCTATTAAATTTAATTCAGTTCTTTTATATCCTTCCATCTATTGCATAACTCCAAGATGTAGATGTTATGTTTTCTGACAGGCTGGACATTTTAGTGCTTAATGATCATAGCCTGTTTTCTCTGATATCCTAGAAGGCATATATTATTTCTACCTTGGACAGTAAAGTTACTGACAAAGAAGGTGTTCTTACAATTCATCTTTTTGTAGAATTGCCATGTATCAACATTATTAGATGATTTTTATAGTAATGTCTTTTTCTAAAACTTGAAATTGATTTATTGGTTCCACTTCCGGGAGCCAAGATGGCGGAGTAAGAAGTCAGTCGCTCTTTCTGTCCCTTATTAACCTCTGAAAGCCCAGAAAATATCACCCCAGGAAAAACTCTGGAATAGCTGAACCAGAAGAAAGACAGGGTGCAGCAGTCCGGTGGCACAGGTAGCTTGAGGGATTAACAGGAAAGGCCCCTCTTGCCCTGGAGAAAGGGGAGCAGTACAGAACAAGAGGTATCTCAGCAAGCTAGCAGAAAGCCCCACCTCAGCATACCAAGGGGAGATCCTGAACCCCAGGTGGTGGAGCAGGCAGACACCAATACCAGGACCCCCGAGTGCCTCAGTATGGGCAGTGGAACCAGTGGAGCTAACATAATAAAAATGACAATTCTGCCTAAGCTAATTTACTTATTCAGTGCCTTACCAATCAAACTGCCAAAAATTTATTTTATAGAACTAGAAAAAATGATAAGAAGATTCATTTGGAAGAACAAGGTCCAGAATATCAAGGGAACTAATGAAAAGAAAGGCATGGGAAGATGGCCTAGCCATTCCAGATCTTAAATTGTATTATAAAGCAGAAATCATCAAAACTACTTGGTGTACTAGTAAGAAATAGAGTGATGGATAAGTGCAATAGGTTAGGTATGCAAGACACAGTAGTCAATGACTATAGTAATATGTTATTTAATAAACCCAAAGACCCCAGCTTCTGAGATAAGAACGTACTCTTTGAAAAAAA